AACAAGGCCACCTTAGACATTGACAATGTCCTTGACACCATCTGCCTGTTTGCCTTGTTGCACGACCTTACGCCTGGTCGATTCCTGGACGACCTGTTGGAAAATCCACCAAAGTCATGAAATGAGGTTAAGATAGATCGACAAGCTTCATTTTGTCAGAAGACTTTCAGTCATCCAAGCGATGAGCTAATGATAAGCAAAATAAAGAGCACAAACATCTAGAAGGAAGGGAAGAAAAGAAAAAATAGAAAGTTGTCAAACAGAGAGGAAAGCCACCTTCCTTCTCAAAATATGCTAACTACATTCCTCTGAACTCGTCAAGGTCCCAAATCTTGGTGTAGATCCAACACTGGGTCAAGAGACGACCTCCTCCACTAGATGATTCCCTATGAGCAGACAGAGGCAAATATTGTGACTATCACCGTGGGTGTGGCCATAATACAGACGATTGTTAGAGTCTAAAGGACGAGCTAGAATTTTTAGCTCGCAATGGAAAGTTGGAAGGATATATCCAGAAACCCTACACCCAGTAGCCTGGTCAAACTCACTTTGTACAAGATTACAGCTGGCCTCAGGGGCAAGGGTACTAGCTTGGTAATAATCAAAATCTGTGCCAAGGGAATCAATACTCCTCTGAACCTGGCAGAGCATACAAAGGACGCCAATACAATAGAAGAGGACAAGGGCAGAAGACTTCAGCCCAAAACCAAAAACACAACAGAGGGATAGGATACACTGGAATACCTTCACCTTTAAGTAGGATAAATATGATCTCTAGTGGTATGCACTCAGGAGGCTAGAGTGCCCGTGGTTGTAAGGCTTATGCTCGCCAAGTGATGATGGTAAACAAAAATAGACCTTTGAAAAGACCATTTCAAGAGGCTGAGTGGGAAAATGCACCAATCACATTCAGTTCAGCACATTACAAAAGGTCAGAGGGAGAACCTGACATTATCATGCCTCATGCTGATCCATTCGTGGCCACCGTCCACATAGGCAACCACAATGTTAATAAAGTCTTCATTGATACAAGCAGCTCTCTAGACATCTTGTATTGGAGTTGTTTCCAAAAGATGCAGCTAAACCCAGCTTGTATGAAGAAGTATGAAGGCCTATATATGGGTTTGATAATCAACCTGTCCCTGTTGAAGGGATTATCACTCTTCCCATCTATGTGGGCACCAAGCCATGGTTTAGGATGGCATCAGTGAGCTTTTTAGTGGTTAAGATGGAATCGACCTTTAATGCCATAATAGGAAGGCCTATTCTTTGTGAATTGAAGGCTGTCATTTCTCAACCACATCTGTGTATAAAGTTCCCAACTCCCCACGGGATATGAGTGCTTAAGGGAAACCAAAAGACTACTAGAGCGTGCTATCAGGATACATTCAAAAGGTCGAGCTTGTAGCAGCACCCAGCACCACAATCTCTCAGGTTTCCAGGCCAAATCAACCAGCCTTGCAAATGATGAGCATTTTTGACATAGATCACTGACCTGGGAACATAGAATAGAAAGCCGAGCCGGTAGAGCCGGTGGAGACCGTTCCTTTGAACTCTGACAAACTAGAAAGGACAGTAAAAATTGGAACTAAGCTCACACAGGAAGAAAGAACTGAGCTTTTGGAGTTTCTAAAGTTCAACCAGGATTTTTTGCGTGGATAACAGATGAAATGCCTGGAATTCCAATAGAATTTGCAGTCCACGAGCTCAGCACAAGTCCTTCAAGGAAGTCGGTAGTTCAGAAACAACGGCTTTTCAGCCCCGAAAAACAAGCCTCTATAGATGAAGAAATATAGAAACTATTACAGGCAGGTTTCATCAGGCAGGTTGAATATTCACAATGGGTGTCCAATCCTGTGCTTGTCAAAAAGCCTAATGGCAAATTGAGGATGTGCATTGATTTTACGAACTTGAATGAGGCATGTCCCAAAGACCCACCCCCTTTGCCTAATGTTGAAAAGTTGGTAGAGTGGGCAGCTGGTCATGAACGCATGAGCTTTTTTGATGTAGTTCGCTATACCACCAAGTTCAGCTATGGTTGGATGATCAAGAGAAAACGGTATTTTATGTGGGGGACGCCATTTACTGTTATGTCATGATGCCATTTGGGTTGAAGAATGTTGGTGCAACGTATCAGAAGTTAGTTCAGGTCGTATTTAAGCTTTAGATTGGTAGAAATATCAAAGTTTATGTTGATGATATGATTGTCACTAGCGCACGATCTGAAGATCATATTGACGATCTCAATGAAACATTTCAAAACTTACGCCGAGCACAAATGAAGTAAACCCCTTGAGTGCACATTTGTTGTGGAATCAGGCAAATTTCTAGGATATGTGGTATCCAAGAAAGGAATTGAGGTGAATTTGGACAAAGTTTAGGTCGTGCAGGAAATGGAACCTCTTAAGATAGTAAAAGAGGTGCAGTTTCTGACAGGTTGTCTCGCTGCCTTACACAGGTTTATCGCCAGGTCGGCAGAAAAATGTCTTCTATTTTTCAAAGCCTTGAGAGAACCCAAAAACTTCTAGTGGACTGACGAATGCTAGCAACCTTTTGATGAACTCAAGCAATATTTGGCATCGCCACCCTTACTCTCTAAACCTGTTGAAGGAGAGAAGTTATATATGTACATGAGAATTACAGATGAAGCAGTCAGCTCGATTTTGCTAAGAGAACAAGATCAACCCCAGAAACCCATTTGTTATATAAGCAAAGTTCTACAAGGTGTAGAAAGGAACTACTCAATTGTTGAAAAGGCCGCTTTTGCCCTTGTTTGCACTGCTCGAAAGTTAAGAGCCTACTTCCAATCTCATTAGATTATTGTTTTCACAGACCTACCACTGAGGAAGATATTACAGAAATCTGAGCTTTCTAGGTGACTAATTAGGTGGGCTGTCGAGCTGAGCAAGTACAATCTCAAATTTGAGCCATGTATAGCTATAAAAGGTCAAGCTTTGGCAGACTTTCTAGTCGAATGTCACCCAGCGACGGTGGAAGAAACCATACCCTCACACCCCGTATAGATGCTGTATGTAGATGGAGTCGTAAGCGTTGAAGGATCAAGGACAAGAGTAATGTTAATAGGCCCAGATGTTTTTAAATCTGGGCATGCATTGAGATTCAAATTTCAAATGACCAATAATGTTGCTGAATATGAAGCACTCATTTACACTATGAAATTGGCATCCAAGCTGAAAAGGCAAAGCATAAGAGTCTTTAGTGCTTCCCAACTTGTAGTCTACCAAGTAAATGGAAGCTGTGATATCAAAGATCCTCAGCTCGGTCGTTACGCCTCTGTGGTCAACAAGTTGAAATCAGGCTTTGTTTTGTTTCAGATTGACAAGTTACCGATGGTAGATAATAAGTGGGCTGATGAATTGTCAAAGCTGGCCTGGCCTCATCACAAGATGTTAATCCCCAAAGGACAACATTCATTGAAATACTTGATGCCCCGAGCTATGTCGACCCTAGTACTGAGTGTCAAGTATTAAGTATAGATCCCTCGTCGTCGAGCTGGACAATACCCCTAATTAATTATGTAAGAAATGGCGAATTGCTTGAAGACCCGTCTGATGCTAAATTGATCAAGCGTAGGGCGGCCCATTTCACCTTAATTGATGATCAGTTATATAAACGAGCACTGTTAATGCCCCTATTACATCGCCTCATTCCTTATGAAGTTGAATATGTTGTAAGAGAAGTTTACGAAGAAGTGTGTGGCACACACATAGGTGGTAAAACATTGGCTTGGAAACTTCTAAGGCATGGATATTATTGGCCTACTATGGTAGAAGATGCACAAGATTATGTAAAAAGTGTCCAACCTGCTAGTTTAATATTGACGACATTCACATGCTAGGTACTTGAGCTCATCTAGAAATTTATCCATAAATTTCATATTTGTCTTTAAGTTCAACTTGAATACCTCTTTTGATACAGGAGAAATGTTGTCATCACTCTCGTTGCCTTGGCCCTTTGCCCAATGGGGAGTGGATTTGCTCGGTCCCTTTGTTAAGGGCAAATGAGGTGGCACACATCTAATCGTTACTGTGGATTACTTTACAAAGTGGATAGAAGTCAAGCCATTATCCACAATGACTTAAAGGAAGATAAAAGAGTTTTTATTCAATTCCATATTATGCAGGTATTCTTCAGTTGGTTAAATCATATACATTGCATTCGCACATATTGCGTGACTTAGCCAATTCATTTATGTGCAGGTTCGGTATTCCTAAATGAATCATTGTTGATAACGGTCCTCATTTCCGAGCTGCGGTGCTCAGGTCGTTCTGTGTTGATTACGGTATCAAACTCTCACTTACGTTTGTTTACACTCCACGGTCAAATGGACAAGCAAAGTCAGCTAATAAAATTGTCTTGCGTGGACTTAAGACATGCGTCCTAGTTACGCACTCCAATTTGGTTGACGAGCTCAATAAAGTGCTATGGTCGTGCTATACCACGCTCAGTTCTGCCACAGGCGAGACAACATTCTCCCTTGCATATGGAGCCGAAGTTGTAATACTTGTGGAGATCGGCCTGTTGCCTAGTGGTTCTATTTGGGGTAATGATCGGGATAACGAGCAGCTCCTAAGAGAAAATTTATATCTAGTAAAAGAGGTCAGGGAAACATCAAGGATGAAAAACATGGCTTATCAAGGTCGTGTTGCTAGATTCTACAATAGAAAGGTATGAGATCGTCAGTTTTAGGTCAGCGACCTAGTTTTAAGCAAGGCCGGCCTCACCAATACGTATTCATATATGGGCAAGCTCGCACCTAATTGGGAAGGCCCTTAAATGGTTATTAATGTAAAATGACCTGGATCTTACTTGTTAGCAGATTCACAAGGTCATCAATTACCATTTACTTGGAATGTGCATAACCTCAAGAAATACTATAGCTAGCCTATAGTTATCTACCACATTTGGGAATTGTAAACTGTATGTAAAACTCAATGAATACAGATAAATTATAAAATCATCCCCCAAATTGTGTTTCATTCCAAAAAAATTGTATATTGGAGTATAAGGGATAATGATAAAATCGATAAAAGGGGGATCAGTTGACCAACACAAAAAATACAAAAGAAAAAATAAACCTAAAACTAATCTTTCGTTAAATGAACGGGAGCCGAGGCGTCAGCGCGAGCTGGAGAAGAACGTATTGAAGTGACAGCGAGCTGAGAGTTTGAAGGAGTGGTAGTAGGTTCTGCTTGTAGCTCAGGCACTCTAGCCACCCAAGCATCATAGCTAGGCAGGCCCTTTGCATCTTCCCCGTCTTCAAGAACGGATGGAGGCCATACAGGCACGCCAGCCACCCAAGCGTCATAGCTAGGCAGACCGTTTGCATCTTCCCCGTCTTTAAGAACTGATGGAGGCCATACAGGCACTCCATCCTCATTCAACTCCCATCTCAGCCGCACAGTAGTGTCAGCTGACAGGGCGAGGCTCTTGCCTTGTTCATCAATCTCCTTTCCTTCGAAAAAGGCCAACTCACCAATATGAAAGTCGGGTCGATGCTGTAATACCTTTCCATCAATCTTATCGTAGATTTGCCTCGTGGTGTTCATGGAGGCAATAGCCATGACATCTTGGAACATATCGGAGCCAACCAGCCACTTCGTTCCCTGAGCTCGAGCAATGCTTATAGAATGCTGATAAGACTTCTTTACCGAGTTCAAACTTTCTTCAGCATGAGCAAGACTTTCGTTTACTGCAGCTATCCAATGTCTTAGGGAATTCAACTCGTCCAGAGCAGTGTTCCTTTCAACCTTAGCCTTCATGGCATGTTCCTCAACACGATCGACCTCATCCTTGGCCGCTAGAATGCCACTCTCCTTCTCAGCCCGAGCCCTTTCTAGCTTTTCCTTCAGCTCGTTAACTTTATTAGCTAGCTCGTCGACTCGGCTTGGCTCTCAACGAACGCTGCTCTATTAGCCATTTCAAAGTTTTGTAGGCGGTTGACCTCATCCTCTAAACTCGCCTTTTCATAAGTTAGCTGCTTGTAGCTTTCAATGAGCTCGCGAGTTTGCTCGCACGCTTCCTACTCGCACTTAAACAGTGCGATTGCATAGCTAAATGCCTGCCACACAATTCCTACGGTTAGTTTCTAACATAAGCTTTAAAAGATACAAGGGATTGACGAAAATACTCATGTCCATCAATTTCAACATGGTGGCATGACCACCATTCTGTTGAATGTAGCCTTTGGCACGCTGTGGATCCACAGGGGGAACAAAACTTAGCATAGCTTGAACCGTGGCGGCCTGGTAGTCAGTTCTTGTATAATTGAAGCCTTCAGGGTATGCAATCCTCGGGCTTGAGGCGGATGTAGACGTAGGTAGTGCCTTAGCGACGTCACATGCGGAAGAAAAAGGCACGTTAGATGAACGTGTTGCCGCGAGTAGAACGGGCTGAGCCATAGAGCTCGTTCTCCGCCTAATTAATGGCACGTCATCCTCCACATTAGAGTCATCACGAGCACGCCTTTGAGAATCTAAAGGCGAAATTTAAACTCTTTGCTCGGCACGAGGCTTGAAAGCCGAGCTAGAACCTCGTTCTCGTTGTGACAAACTACGAGGCGACGCTGCAGGTGGTTGTTTGTCAAAACGAGTTGACCTATGCGAGCTGCCTTCTCCCTGACGACCTCGCGAGTGTTGAGCTCGTTCACGTTGCCTTTCCAAAACGCTACTCATTTCGCCTACATAAACAAATGCAATAAGACTCATATCGGCTAGAAATTACAATTTACAATAGAATTGTACCTTCGGTATATAGGTTTGCCACATCAACAAACCCAAACATCACGAGCTGCTCAGGGGTAACTAGGGCGTCTAAATCCACTAATCCCTCCGCCTTCACATAATCCAATAGCTAATTTTTCAGATCCACATCACGAGGCGTTAGTTGGGGAAAGTTCATATATGTATTGGTGACGTGCCATTTAGAGATGCGAGCAGCCAGTTCATTATTCATCCTCTCCGTTCGCATGTCACGAATGAAAATGAACTGTTTCTTCCACCTCGCTACTTTATTCCTTACGTTTTTAAAGAGCATACGCTTCTCTCTTCTGGAGATGTAATACCACCCCGTCTAGTTGCTACTCAACCAGCATTGGAACAAAGACCTGAAGACTATCGCCTTCGCAGGTATCTCCAACTTAGCACACAGCAGCATAAACCCTATAATAAACTTTATGCTATTGGGGGTCAGCTGTGTTAATACCAGCTCGTACTCTGCCAGAATATCAAAAATTAGCCCGGGTAGAGGGAAACATAGACCGGCATCAAAATGGTCTACGTATATTGGCACGCATCTAGTCCTAGATACTGAACATGCCCTTTCATTCTTCGTTCTAGTTCGTAATAAGATCGTCTTAGGGATTTGGTGTTGCTTCACCATTTCCTCCAATTTCTTATACCCCTTAATAGTAGCCGCGCCATCTGCTATTTTGTGGTGAAGTATCGACCTGAACCTAAATTCGACAGGCAAGGTCTGTGGCACTTTATGCATATTGTCTAGTGTGCCACTAATAGTTTTATTCTCCCACCCTTTAAAAACAGGCACATCAGCCTCCATATCCGTCATTTGGGTATTGTTGGTGCCCTCCATTTCACCCCCCCATTGTTGGGTGTTCTTTTTGAAGATGAATTGTTAGAAGATGAAGAATGGTGACCATTGGAGTCACCATTTGCGCTTGAACTAGCACTGCTCTTTGGTGTAATGGTTTTCGGCAAATCTTGTAACGCTGGTGGCACTATCATGGCAATAAGCTCCACAAACATAACACCCTCTTTCTTTTCCCTGCCCTGGTTACCTCGGAGTTCTCTAAGTTCTCTAAAAAATTCCATTTTTTACCTGAAAAGTTCAAACGTAAAGGCTTTTAGTATTTGTGGGTTTAAAGCTTCACTTCAAATGCTTTGAAGTCCTTTGTTGCAGGAAATCACAGAGAATATGGTGAAAGAGAAATGCCAAAAGGGTTATGTGATCGTTCCCTTGATTACCGTACGCGTTTTTTCCAGATACACCAGTTAAAATACCACACATGGCAGGTATTTATGGTCTGGCATGTAACGTTCACCGACTTTAGCTGTCACGCCTCTTCAAATGCTAAGCTAGCATTTATTGCGGGGAGGGCAGAGGGATACCAACAGCTTTGAACCATATCTCTTTAGAGATTTGTTCCGTTTTAAATTATGAAAATGACCAAGGTTCAGATCGTGATAGATTTCTTCTTTAATGAGATTGTTTCACGTTAGCTCATTCCTACAATTAAGTGAACGAGCCCAACCGTATATCCTCAAAGATTTGTTCATATCTCTTTAGAGATTTGTCCATGGTTCTGGTCGTGACAGATTTCCTCCTTGAAATTTGGGAGGGGTGAGATCGTCGCACATTAGCTCGTCTTCGCAATTGCATGGACGACCTCATTTCGCTCCGTTTTAAATTTACAGAATGATACTTGGGTCGAGATCGTCATACTTCAGCTATTCTTCAACCTTATATTGCATGGACAACCTTGTTTTGCTCCGTTTAAAATTTACAGAATGATACTTGGGTTGAGATCGTCATACTTTAGCTATTCTTTAACCGTATATCCTCAGAGATCACTCCATTCTAGTATTTTTGAAAGATCATCATGGTTGAGGTCATCATGTGTTTGCTCATTTTCACATTGACGCAGGCAAGCTTATCACGTATCATCTCCTATGTGACACACATCTTACCAGGAGACTCCATCTCTTTTTAGGCATACTCCACTCAGAAGTTGGAAAATTGTTATACGAGCTTGCCTTTTTGAGCTCGTTGAGCTCGCTCATTCACACTCAGATACCTGATCTGAACTCGGGTGGACGAAGTCACCCTATGTTCAGGTTGTCCAGGTGTAACCTTTTCCTCAAAGGCTTGCTTATCCAGAACTCAACCTGGATGCATCATAGCTCGTTTAGTATATGTTGTACCTATGATTTTGATGATTACAAAACACATTTGAATGACTAATTGGTTTATTTAAGTGTGTAGTTAAGTTGCTAAAAGATTGCAAGTAAACTTGGATTGCACTAAAAATAGACCAAAAGGA